GAAAACGTATTCTGTGCTAACATGGTGTGCCCAATCTAATCTCTTTACATCATCTTATAGGACTTTCATACATGTACATGTGGGAAAAATGCAAACACAAAATGTCCCAGTCTGGCTCCCGGCAGACTACAACCAAATCACAAGGGCTCTGCCGCCAACAAATCATGAATGATTTCTATTCACCCAGTCAAAGTGCCTTGTTTTTTTCTGCATCACTAATCTCAAATTTCCAGACAAAAATCTCATTTCAACTTTGAGCATAAAAGTCTTATTTCAAAACCTGAAGATCGAGGAGAGGAGAAGAAAACCGAGAAGGGAGAAAAGAGAAAAAAAAATTGTGTGATAACAATTTTCCTGGCCAAAGTCCCCAGAGAAGTAGCCTGAGGTCAGCTGGTTGCACATGGAATCCCCCGCCAAGTGATGTGCATGACTTAAAGCGAGAGGTGATGAGAGATGGGCGATATAGCCAGGGGATTACTGGGGACCGGCAGTCGCTTGCTTGCTAACTGGCTGGCTGGCTGGGAGCAGAGCTAACTGGCACAGGGAACATGTGTGACCCGGCCTAACAAAAAAATTGAGTCGCACGTCGCCAAAGCCACTTTTGAGTCAAAGGCCTTTGAAAGCATCTCGCTCAATGCATATCAATAGGAATACTCCAAATGTATTTTCCCACTTTAAAAACGGCCCTAAGGCTAGTTTTTGAGATCTCATGTGCGCACAGTATGGGTTTGTTTGCACCTGACTGGATTTAAGCAATGAACCACTTACATGCATTCCGTTACATTCATGTACTGCATTAACTACACGCTGGGAATAGGGGGCCAGTGGACCTCTCGGAATAACCCCCCAAATGATACCTTGCCTCCCACCAAAGCTCCAGTGGTATAAACACAATTCCATGTTGAAGCAAATCAGCAACAAACTGTGCACTGTAAGGAATGTCAGTGGTTCCCAATCCCTGCTGAACCACCACATTTGCCCGTGTTCATTTTGCAAACAAAGACAAAAAACAAATGGTGTTTCAGGGGTGTACATGTACCTGAAAACCAGTGTACCCAATTTCCACAGTTGAAACTACCTGAAAGAGGCCACCAATGCAAACGTACCATCCTTCCAAACTCTAGATACATAACACATACTGGTACCGGGAGGCCTCAAGACACGTAGACAGACAACTGATCACCTCCATCCCCAACTTTCCCAGTGATTCCTTACTCTCTGGAAACAACAGCCCCAAATTTACCCCTCCCCCAATCTCCAAGGCCAGGGGTTCAAGGATGCCTCAAGGCGGTGACCACTGGCCAAAAGATGACAACATGGTGATAGGGGACGGAGATTTAGGGGACGGAGATTTGGGGGACCAGGCAAGCTGGGGGGGAGGGACGGGAGCCCAACTGTCCAGTTGGTCCCTGCTGAGCAGATGTGTTTATAACTGAGCACCATGGGTCAAGTTGGACAGCTGATGCATTTCTAAGCTTAGCTGCAGTGTCCATGTCCATGTACATGTATATGCACACTGGCATTTCAAGCAGTAGGCCCTACCACTGTTGATTTTTCTTTCTCTGACTCAAATCACCCAACAGAGGGCCTTCAAAGACTGCAGGATCCACAAAAGGTGCAGTGTGCAGATCCGTGCACCATAGGTGCACAGAACGACGTCAGAGTACACGTCCATGTGTACACGCCTATTCCTGAAAATAAAAACTTCCAGCAGTTTCCCCCACAAGTAGCGCACATTACAGAGCTCCCCCCTCCCCTCTCCCACAGGAGAAAAGCAGGGGGAGCTGGAATGCAGATGGGGTTTGTGAATGTTTCGGATGATGGATTGGTCCTGTCATACGCGCACTTGCAATTCTGCTTAACTTGTACATCCGGACAGAGGAACAATGATTCCTTCAACCTCAAGTACATGTAAGTTGTAACATACACTGTACAAGCAGAAGAATAAAAACCAATAACACGTACATGTAGCAGAAACCACCTGGGACAGAGATAAAGATTAAATCCAAACAAAGGACTGGCAGTTAAGGATGAGGAAAAAAACTAACATGAGTCACGTAGGCATACATCTACGGTAGGCCAATAAACATGCCTACATGTAAATGTTCACGTTTGTTACTGGTAGCTCAAAGGGTATAGGACTGCCACGTATGGGTAACAAAGGGAAGCCAGTTAGCATAGCGCGGTTCTTTCCTTGCTTGGCACCAATGGGGCCCGGGTTCGAGTCCCAGCTCGGCCCGGGCTTTAAGTGCATTTGGTTTCCAGTCCATAGTCACTCTCACAGGTTTTTTCCGGGCACTCCGATATCCTTTTGCCTCTAAAACTGGGCCTTCTTCCTAACTCCGTAATGTGATGCTGATTAACAAAGGTTTTGCATAAATGCATAGTAATTGGCGCAAATGGCCTTTGTAGCTGAAAGCACCTCAAAAACAACAACAACACGTGGCTAACTGTGCACTTTCATTTAGCAAAGTGCAGACTCCCTACAAGTAGAAGCGCAATTCCAGAAATGAGGGGTCCAAAATTATGACATTTTTGTGTCCCTGTTACATCTGACCTTTGTAATTTGACAAGGAAATATCACCGGAATTGATTTCAAACTATTACTGTTTGTTTAACAGGTAATTTGCATTAATTCATCACTCTTAGAAATTAGAAAGTGTGCTCAGAACTTATAAAGTCATATGTCAGATGTGACGGGGACGAGAAAAAAAGGACCCCTAATTTCTCGAATTACCCATAATCGGCTTGTGCTGTGTGACTAAATAATTCATTGCATTTGTTTGCTGGTTCCTCATTCTAAATTCACCATCTGTTAGGCCATTACACCTGCATGTACTGTTTATGTACGTGCAGGTGCATTCATACCTTCTTTTTGGTATGCATGTACATGTACATGTACATGCGTTGCTTGAGACCAGCCGATGTTGTTAAATATACGTGTACCTTGGACATCCGGTACACTCCAGCCAGCTCACCGTAAAAGCTCTTGATGGTTTTAGCTTCCTCTTCCCACCACCGAATGAAGCCTTTGGCACAAATACATATTTAATATAGGAGCCTATCTGGTACATGTCCATAAAACACATGGAAATAAGAGACATCTACAGGTCTTTAATCTGCATTTGGACACCAACCTGTAGAAGCCGGTGTAACTGAAACCTGTTTTGTCTATAATTGATAGCAAACTTAATGATTAATACATGTAAGTGCGTACAGACATTTTGTAACATGTATGGGCTATATAAAAACTGACTATTATTATTAACTTTAAATTCCGTCCCTGTATTTTGCTTCCAGAGAAATGCTCACACCACCAAATCATCAGCATGCACACCCAAGCCTGACTTCTTGACACTGTCAAAAGTCCTTAACACTTGCTGGCCACACGTGGCCGTGTTTATGCCGAAAGGTTGCGCTCTGCCACCACGTGCACAGTGCTGTTGATAAACGTCTAGCCTCGCCAAGACAGATAAATTACGGACCATTTTTTTTTCCTTTCTCCCGCAAATGCGAATGTTTAGCATTTCTGAGGGAATGAGTTTGTTGGGCTCTCCCTGTCTTCAATGAGTTTGTTTCCGACAAGTACAAGTAGGCCTACATGAAATGTGCCTGAACACGTGCTTGATAGAAGAGCAGGGGTCCAATTATGTACGTACTGGTATATACATGTAGTACTGAATAAGATTAAGCAAATTTAAAACTAGCTTTTAGATAAGGACAGCTTTTGATCAGTTTTACTCAGATTCCATGGAAAACAGTGAATGATATCCAGAATGTAGCAAATGACAATCTGTCGGGGTTGTCAGCTCCCTTCCATGACATTACACACTTTGTGTGTGTGTGAAGCAACTGCATCGTTGAGGCCAGTGAGTGCTTTGTTTCCTACAGACCAAGGTCACTGCCTCAGGCCACGGACAATTTCCTCTGGTCTTGGAGGCATTTCATCTCAGTCACAGCCAAAAGTCACTCTAGCAGCTCATGGTGCAACTGTTTCCTCTTTTCAGGTGCAAGGTCAGCTGACCAGTGACAACAGATGAGCTCTTTGTGTCAGGGCTTCTTTGTAATGCCAGAGCCGCAGATGAACATCACCAATGGTCAGCCGGGATCGGATGGCTGGACAGCCCCACGGTTGGCTGATCAACTGAGGGATCAGCTGTTGGGCAGGTGCCCTTGACTCGCTAAAGCAGCTCAAGGGAAGGCTGACCAGTAGAGAGAAAGGAGACCGTTAGTCTCCTCTGACTGATGGTCAAGTCATCAGTGGGCAATGAGGACCATAATTGAAGGCCCTTCGAGCAGACTTGTGGATGTTAGGCAGCCAACAAGACTCAGGTTGTGACCCGGTATTGAATCCCATCCAGGCTGAAATGTAGACTCAGTTTTCAATCTCCACCTACATGTAAATCCATGGGTTTTCCAAAGAATAGCTTCCTTCACCCAGAAAATTCTGTTTCATTTTCGCTCTCTAGGTCAGGAGTAGTGCTTGCAATTTTTTTTGGAATCCATAGTTTCATCAAAAGAGTAAGGATTACAACACACTGCAAATGTACAGACACTTTACTGCTGCATCTCGGCCCAAACTCCATGGGTATTGATGCAACAAACCCTCCTGAATCCTCCAAAATCTTCCACTGCACAGGAAACCAGTGGCACACTCCTTGTGATGCAACTATCGTGGAAAATCAAGCCCTGGATGATGTGCAAGTAGCTGGGTTGTGCCCTTCTCAATCCTGTTCCCAAAACCTCCTGGCAGACTTGGTGCATTAGAAGGAAAAGATCTAATGAATTTGACTCCGGACTACCGCAGAAAAGCTGGTTCATACCCCAGGTGAACACAAAAGCGCAGCAAATTTCATGTCGCAAAACACTTGCAGCTTAAGTCACTCCTGTTAAATCACATTCAAGCAACACAAATATTTGGAAGGACATTACAATGTTGTGTTAGCTTTCACACCAAGTTCGAACCAGCCAATAGCTGCCAACTTCCCCCCCCCACTTACGTTATGGCTCCTTCGTGGATGATTCCATCCTCCCCGGTTTGTATCTGTGAGAAGCACCAGCCACCCGGTCGGAGGACGCATGTGTTGTTGGGAGCATCTTCAGGACAGTGCTCACTACAATAACACTTCATCCCTTCCTCGGCTAGTACTGTACAAATGACACGGGAAAAAAAGAGAAGAAAATTAGGACTGAAAGTGAACAATCAGGGCTGAAAGAAGTCTTTCAAGCAACCAATCAGCAAGCTTTAACGCATGTGCACAGACTTCTTGGCGGTAGGCCTACCAAGTCATGTACGCAATTCCATGTACATGTATGTACTCTACATACAATACATGTATATGCAGTAACTGAGTTTATGTCTATGTAATTCTATTGTGTCAGGTCATGTAAATACATTGTATTACATTCACATGTACAGTAAGCGAACAGGTATTTACAAAACCTGATGCTACAAGTGAACTTGTGCAAGTGGGTCCATGTATACACGTGTGGGTCCACGTACGCAAACACGTGAATACATGTATGTACATGTACTTTGTTATTTAACAACCTCCACTGAAAAAAAAACAACTCCATTTGTAGGACACCAGTTAGTTTTCTCTAAAATAACTTCCAGTCATCGCACAAATGGCCACAAAATTAATTTACATTCAGTCAGCTCTAGAGAGTTCCACTTGAAAGGAAAACAGAACATCATTGCAGGTACCTGTAGCTTTGACTTTTTTTTTTACAGAAAATAGCTTGTAGGTATGGGTAATGTTGTCATATGATCACAAAATGCAGGAAAAAACTCTACTCAGACTGTACATTTTAATATCCTAGCTGTCCAAAAGTATCCTCAAAAGGTAATCAAGTGTAAAAACAAAAGAAATTACCAACATGATTAGAAAAGCATAGTGCAATCCCAAGGTCAAACTTGACTACCACTTGTCTATAGGTGTGGGCATGTGCATGTACATGTCCAAGAGCCAACATGTACATGTGCAACAGGAGATAAGCACATGGATTGTAACTTGTAAAAGAATTCAAACAGAAATATTTTAAACTTACACTAGCAAGTACATGTACATGTAATGTCAGGTTTCTGAGAAATACAGACAAAACGAAGCCTACACATTGAAATCAAAGCCCTAGTTTTGCAAAACAAATCAGTTTCTTTCAGTTTTGCCTATAATTTATGTCTGGTCATGACAGGACAACCTCTGTTTTTTAACTTGACCACCTCAAGTTAACAACCTACAGTGTAAACACAACCTGATAACCCAGCACTGGCAGAAACAACAGCACCATGATTTGATAACCTCCCTGATGGTGGCAACCTGTGTATCAAGTATCCTGTGACAATAATCTGGCAAGGCCTTGACTGAGGGGGGGGGAGAGAAGGCAGGGAGTCATCACAGGGGATTCGGGTAGGTGTCTGGAATTGCAGCTTGCTGCAGTTGTCTTGTCAGTGTCTTTTGCAAACCTTGTTACATGTAGGTACCAGTATACGTAAGTGGCTGTGATCAGGCTATGTGTCATGTGACCAGGCTATGTACAGTAGATCATGTGACCTTTCGAAGACACCAGGTCTAATACATGTAATAATATCATAAAAGGGAAAAAGGACTTATGGAACTGAGCATGCTTTTAAACATCTCGACAGATACTGGTGAGTCCCAGCATGTAACCGTACATTGTACATGTACGCAAAGATGCAGCAGTAATGTACACATCATTCACATAAAACTGAACATTATAATCAGGGGTGTGAGTGGCAACTTAAAATTAAAGCTGAAAACCGCTAGCAAAAAAGCTGAAATGTAAGAAGTCCCCGTATGTTTGTACCCAGGAGGTGCACAAAAAAGCTGAAATGCAGGGTCAAAATCTGATCCAAAACGAAAAGCTGAAATCAGCTCAAAAGCTGAATTTCACACCTCTGATAAAGCCAAAAAGTGGGCTTTATATGGTAATACATGTACATGTACAGGGAGTGTTCACTATTTACAAGAAGTCCATAGCATGCACAGAAACACACAAACAGTGTTCAACTTTTCTATTAGGTATTTGACAGGTTTTGTTTATCTTGGCCTGTGGAATGTGGTCTAACCATGGTCTGACCCAGTATAAACCAACTATTGCCAATGGCTACTCACCCAGTGCATGTGATAAGGCTGGCTCAGAGCCATGGTACTAGCTAACAAGAAAAGAATGCAGGGAGGGAGTGCATTATTCTACCATCGGCCACACACATCCCAGGCCCTGCATTCACTGCCCTCCAGGAATACATGAGCTGGTTATATTCTCTCTCCTAATCACTGGGTCCCTTGCCCCATGGTGGTATTACACCAAACGATATTTAAGGCTTGGACTGAATCACCGAATGGAATCACTTCTGTACTCAGAACTGGACTCTCGGCGGCGTATACATGTACTGTACATGTACCTTAATGACTGGAATTAGTTGATTTTCTTGCATCTTTTATCCATAATACTGAGCTTCTGAAAATGGTATACCATCAACTGGACTTGATTGCCAAAACACTGCTTCAGTAGTTCACGCCTAATGGGAACTACTACTGAAGCATCATGGGAACTATTAAACATGTGTAGAGTGAATACATGCAGTTTATATACACGTACATGTACCTCGATAAAACACATTGCTCTGAACTGACCCTGGAGGGAATGACAAGTCCGCAAATGTCCGGATGACGTCAAAGCATGCCAGGAATGAAGCACGATGACAAGAAGTCAAGACCCACTGAACATGTGAACGTATACGCGCACAATATGCAGTTGCACTGTAATTTTGGGTCTGCTTCAAATCCCTCACAAGTGAACAAACCAGTGTTATGAAAGCAGTGGAGTACAGTAAGGAATGCTTTGTCCCAAGTTCATCTCAAACAGCTTGAGACTGGATTGCAGACGGGATGCGGACTGACTGACTTGTGATTGACTTGCGACGCCAACCAAACGTTCAATGGTTTTTCAACTGAAAACTTCCACTCATGTTGATGTACAACGTACACGTACATGTACAGTAAATGTACACTGACAGAAAATCCTGAAAAAAATCAAGCGCTGCGCACATTGTTTTATCCTTTAATCCTCCTTGTTGACTTGAGGAAGACTGACGGTATTGATAGGCTTCTTTTTTTATTCAAGTTGATGTTTTGAAAGTGATCATGTGCTTGTCATGGAAAAAGGAACCATTCTGAACATTAATGTTTTGCAATGGCGGCTATCGATACCATAAGAAAAAGTGTAAAAAGTACATACATGTTTGTACATGAAGAGAAGGCTTGGGGTAACACCTTGTGGATAGATCTCTTTTGGAAGAGGTATGGTTCGGATAAAACTGTTGAGTGTGAACTCGAGTGTGAGTTCACAGTCACACTCGGTTCTTACGTGTGCGAGTTCACACTCACACTTGGTTCTAATGAGTGTGAGTTCACAGTCACACTCACACTCAGTTCTTATGAGCGTGAGTTCACAGTCACACTCACACTCGGTCACAGTCACACTCAACGGTTCTTGTAACAAGGGTTGGGTTTTAAGGCATGCATGTAGGTCTACAGATGTACTGTACGTAGCCTTGGTTAATCAATACATGTAGCAACAGGTGAACTGTAAACAGGCTACCTCTGGACAGTGTGCCATTGTAACTTGAAGGTATCGTTCAGTCACCTTTTGCAGGAATGATAAAAGTTCAGTTGAAATCACAAAGACAAAAATCTCTTGAATGCAGCGGTGCAGCGTTTGTTATCACACGCTGCAAGGCTTAGTCAACTCTGTTTCTTTTCTTGTATTGCCTTTTCTTCTTTTTTCTCTCCCTTCCACATTAATTTCCAGGCGGTGAAATTGAACTGTCTGCTTGTATCAAGTAGCAAATCACTCAAGGAACTACTGGGCCTCAGCGCAAACAACGGCACTCTCTTGTTTAACACGGCCGGCCCATGCTGGCATGGAGCATTATTCAGCGCACACAACCCCTGCAACACTCCGGGATAGGTTGTCAGTTACAATTTATCAACATAGCCTTTCCCTGTGCAAAAAATAATCATAAATTCAACAAACGGGCCAGGCGTCATGTGAGTGTATTCAGGGGAAGTAAAAATACACCCCCCCTTCCCTTTTTTGGGGGGGTGTTAGAATCTATTCTTTCTTTTTCTTCTTCAGAGTGAGTTATTTATTGAATAGGACAAAGGAATGAAATCTTCCAGGCCTTGTCAGGCTAAATTGCCCAGAGATAGCCGGTGGGATCGATCAGCGTTAACACGATGCTGCAAATTCACAGTTCGTGTAGTGCCTTTTGTTGACGCTGCTGTGTACATGAACACGTACCTGTACTCAGTACACAAGGCCGGCACTAACCCCCTTGAGTTGTGTACCAAGCACCAACTGCATTGACTTTAGGCACAGCTGCAAAGTCCCCCCCCCCTAAAAATACAGGGTAGAGGTACAGGCACACATTTGGCCTTGAATCCAAAAGCAAAAATCAGTTAACTACATTGTAGAAATCACAAGTCAATTCGATTATAACATACATGTACATGAACATGCAAAGGATTGGCACTACTACTGGTTGGAGAATTTAAGAGGGTTTTCATTGATGAGCAATACTTCCAGAGAATAGGGCAAATGAGGAGTTTTGCATAGTGGATGATAGTAGCAATATTAGATGAAGTTTGCCAGTAGCACCTTGTGGAATCTTGTCGGGAGCGAGCGGTGTTCTAAAAAAGAATCGGTGGACTAAAACAGTAGTTGTGTGAAACTTGCACTTTGCGTAACATTGCGTAAGTCAAAAGTACCTGAACTGTTGGAAACCACAGTGCTGCCACTTTGAAATTGACAGGTCTAACTTGTTTACATGCATCAGAAGCTGTTCGCATGTGATTTGTAGCTATGTTGTCACAACCATAATGACATTTTTTTGCCAATGAAATCAACAGACACATTTTCAGGTCAGAGGACTACATGTACATATGTTTTTTTCATCCAACAGCAGTGACTGCAAAACTTTCTGTGTTAATTTCATATCCAGGAATGCAGCTCTTGGACTGAGGCACGTGACAGTGATTTCCTTTTTCAAAGATCTCTTGTGCATGGCCACAAACACGATTGAAAAGAGAGTTAAATTTCAAACAGCATGAGATTTGAGCGAC